TGAAATTTCCGCACTCCCTGTAGTCTCTCTTGTTGAGGAAGTTTGCTTTTTATTTCTTCGTCTTCTCGGCTGAATCGAAACTCTAGAAGTGAAGAAATGTCGACGTGGCAGTTATTTTCCGATTCTAGCGGCGGTGGGTTCCGGTGGGAAGTCGCTGGCCAGATCCTTCAGTCTGATTCCGATTCTAATCCGACCAAGACGCTGAAATCCACGGCTCCTCTACCTTCCATGTCCGATCTCTTGCTCCAAGGTGATTTTCCATTGTCTTTTTTTTGTCGATTCGCTTGTCATGAGATGTGAGATTAATTATTGTTTGATGAAGGATGCTCGAAGCTTAGAGAACGGGAAGAAACGGTGCCTAGGGAAATCCCAATGTTCAGGACTGGGCTGGGGAAGTCTGTAGCTCTAAAAGAGTCTTCGATTGCTAAAGCCAAATCGATTTTAGCAGATGACAAATTTGATCATTCTGGTACGTTACTAAACAGGAGAATCGTGATAACTTGAGCGTTACCCAGAAGTTTTTCTTCTTCTTTTTGATCGATGCTGCAATACTTGAAACATGAAACTATTTCGAGAAAACCTGTGATTCTCTACATATATTGTTCGTTTGATTCCTTGGGTGTGATTTCGGTGAACTAAATGGTTCTCAATCCTTTTGAATTTTGTGCTAAAAATCCAACCAGCGATTTGTTAAGAAATGGTCTTCATCAAAGAGGATTTCAGATTATAAGCTTCAGTTCACCACTGAGAATGCCCTTCTTAATCTTAGATTTGCAGAACAGGGGATGCTCAAATCTTCAGAAGAGAGAAGTGGATACAGCTGGAACTTTGCCTATGTTCAGTACAGCCTCAGGGAAATTTGTCCCACTGAAAGAGTCTTCAATTGCCAAAGCTTTCTCTATTCTTGGGGGTAATAATATGAATGACTCAGGTGTGTTGTTATCTCCTCTTCTCTAAAGTCTTGTTTCCATTATGGTTCTGTGCACATTTACATATCAACTTGTTATATGTGCTATTACATTCAACTTCTAGGTTAGTTCTTTCTTGTTATTTCAACTCGGTCGATATTAAAGCTGTGATGAGCTGTGATGAGCTGGTAGTAACCAAATGATCAACATCATCTTACTTTGTTAAGGGAATGACTATTTAAAATTACATGTTTTTCTTTTTGATTGTGTAGACAACATTCTTCCCAGGGAGAATGGATTTGGTGTTCCCAGTACTCTTTTTCAGACAGCTTCTAACAAGAAGGTTAATGTATCTTCTGCCGGTCTGGCAAGAGCCAAGGCATTGTTAGGACTAGAAGAAGATGATTTGAATGGTTTTAACCATGTGAACCCGTCCTTTTCTTCCCACCAGCAACATGAGTGGTCTGGGTTAAAAACTCATGAGGAGTTTGATGCTACACCGGCTCACCATCATTCAGGAACAGGACAATATGAGGGTCATGTGCCTCCAACAAAGTTTCAGACTGCTGGTGGAAAATCATTGTCAGTGTCAGCTGAGGCATTAAAACGTGCCAGAAACCTTCTTGGAGTCCCTGAGTTGGGGACTTTCTTTGATGGTGTAGCGGCAGGTGATCAGTTTGTTACACCACAGAACGATAAAAGGTTAGGTGATATTGCTATAAACAGTGGAAGTGCCAACAGAGGTTATATTACTCATGAAGGAAACACAAGCAACAAGCATACGTCAAATAGCTTTATATCTCCTCTTCGGTCATCTTCAAAGCAATTTAGATCAGTCAAATTGCAGGACTTAGCTTCAGGGAGTAATTTGATCAAGAAATTTGATGCGGCTGTTGATGAGACAGACTGTGCTCGGAATAGTACTAAACTTGCTACACATGGACTATCAAAGGAAAATGGTTTCATTCGAAGAGCTAAACAATCTGGAAGGCCAGCTGACCAGCCACTTGTCGATATAACAAATCGCAGTGATGCAGCTTATGCAAACAATAAACTAAACAGTACCCAAAAGAAAAGACTGGGAAAGACAGTCTTCATTTCTCCATTTAAAAGGCCAAGGAATGCCTCCTTTAAAACTCCTTTAAAGAAAAATGCTCTGCATGCTTCAAGTGGTAAAATATTCCTGAATATTTATATGAATTTTTTTTTATAACAATTTTTAGAATTTATTTGGCTGGCTCTCAGATTTATAATATTTGGTATTCTGTCTATTATCAGGTTTCTCTGTTGCACCTTCGAATACACTTTATTCCAAAAAGGTGCTTTCTACAAGATATCCAATAAGGTCTCCAAGAGTATATATCAAGGATTATTTTGGAATGCCTCCAAGAGCTACGACCAAGGTAAAATCGTTTGTCCCTTTCACATGTTCCTGAGTTATATATACGTTTTTGTTTTTCATTCACCCAAACCAGACTTATGGGGTTGGTTTTAGATGGATTATGTGTCAGAGCATGTCAGAAGAATCAAATCAAGCAATGCAGATAAATATGTATTCCGTGATGAGTCTTCCTCAAACGAGGTTGGAGCTGACACTTTTCTTCAAATGTTGGCTGAGTCTGGTTATTCCGTACAACATGCATCTAGAAAGTAACTTCTCTGTCCCTTGAAATGTTTTAAGTTACCCATCTTATCTGCTTGTTTTATCAGAAAAGGCCTGTGACTGTTCTATTGAATCTTGCATGTGATTTTCATTCTATTATATAGACAGTGAGCAATAATTTCTATATCTATCATTATATGTATGCACTAGGTGGGTCACTAATCACTACAGGTGGATAGTCTGGAAACTTGCATGCTACGAGAAAAACTACCCAGCCAAATGCAGAGGGAACATTCTGACAATCACCAATGTTCTCGAGGAACTAAAATACAGGTTTCCCAATCGCACAACACAGCTCGTTGTTGTTTGACCTCATACAAAGTCTAACACAGTTGATCTACCTAAACAGATATGAGAGAGAGGTCAATCATGGTCATTGCTCTGCAATCAAGAGGATTCTGAGTGGTGATGCTCCAGCTTCATCAATGATGGTGCTCTGCATATCTGCTCTTAATCCAAAGACCGATAATGATTCTCAGGAAACACATGGTTCTGATAGTGCCAGCAATGTGAAAGTAGAACTTACTGATGGGTGGTACGAAATTGCTCTTGTTGTTTGGTTACCTGTTTTCTTGTTTCCGTTCCTCATGATTTTTTTTAGCATCACAGGTACTCGATAAATGCTGCTCTAGATGTCATGCTGACAAAGCAGCTGAATGCTGGAAAATTGTTTGTTGGGCAGAAGCTTCGAGTAAGTTATTTTTCTGCAAGGTTTATATATTTTGTTTGGCATTACATTTTTTGGTTCAATCACTGATTTACAGCATGCTTACGTTCTTATTTATTATCTGAAGATCCTTGGTGCGGGACTTTCTGGCTGGGCTGCCCCAACATCACCTCTTGAGGTTTCTTAGAGTTTGAATTTTATTTAGAGTTTCTGAAACCTTCCCATGTTGGTTTTTCCATGGTTTCATTCAACTGAACTTTCAGGCAACGATTTCAAATACAATCTGTTTGTTGTTGAATATTAATGGAACATACAGAGCTCACTGGGCGGACCGATTAGGATTCTGTAAGTAGCTTTATGCACTGGACCTCACTGCATCCTCTCAATTGCTTATTTCATAGTGGTTTTGTGCTTTCATATTGACTGTCTTTTGATCTTTTCATCAAGGTAAAGAAGTTGGTATCCCTCTGGCTTTCAACTGTATCAAGTGCAATGGGGGTCCAGTGCCTAAAACGTTGGCTGGAATTACACGAATATACCCTATCCTCTACAAGGAAAGGTCAATATATACGTTTACCTGTTAATGCAACTCGGTCCCCTGTCTACTTCTTTCTTGCAAAGACTTATATTTGCTTGGTATGTATAGGTTAGGTGAAAGGAAGTCAATAGTTCGATCAGAAAGAATGGAAAGTAGAATGGTCCAGCTGCATAACCAGAGGCAAGTTTGTCAGTTGCTGAGTTTCCATTATAACTGTAGCGAGCAATTTTTAGTAACATTTATGTGATCAATATGGCACATGCATCTCTTGTCATGAAGGTTCTGTTACACACAATAGCATTAGGTTTCTAAGTGGCTGGTTTTTGGGACAGACAAACAATCTGTATATATTAGAAAATCTTCTGGCCTTCTGAATATAGATGGATTTGCCTATTACTCTAGTCTAATGGCTTTTATTGGATTGCAGTTCCTCAGGGTTTATTCTCATTCTTACCTGCCTTTTTTCTATTTGCCTTAGGCGCTCAGCTCTTATTGAGGGTCTAATGTGCGAGTACCAGAGAGGAATCGATGGTGGCCACAGTCAGAACGACACTGATAGCGAAGAAGGAGCCAAGGTCTTTAAGCTATTAGAGACTGCTGCGGAACCTGAACTCCTAATGGCAGAAATGAGTCGAGAGCAGTTGACATCTTTCACTACATATAAATCAAAATTTGAGGTAGAATATTATTGTTTGCCTTTTCTTGATAGATCGTTTCGCGCTAAAGTGATTAATTGCTTCAATCTGAACTTTAGGCAGCCAAGCAAATGCAGATGGAAAAATCAGTAGCAAAAGCTCTGGAAGACGCTGGCTTAGGTGAAAGGGATGTCACCCCATTCATAAGGATTAGGGTTGTTGGAATGACTAGCTTAAGTTACAAAGGAGAACACAACCCAAAAAAAGGCATAGTAACAATCTGGAATCCCACGGAGAGACAGGTACATTCAAACTAAAGAAGGCTAATGTGATTCACTAGCCTGAGCACTCAGATTCTTAAACAGTTATCATTTTCTACTAATGTGACAGAGAACCGAGCTGACGGAGGGAAAGATATACATAATGAGAGGGCTAGTACCAATGAACTCAGATTCAGATATACTTTACTTACATGCCAGAGGGTCTAGCTCAAGATGGCAGCCTTTGTCTCCAAAAGCTTCTGGAAGTTTTCTGTAAGTTGTTTCATGAACTTCCTTTCGTTGTCACACCCGAATCGGTCTCATATATTTGGATAATTCCGTGTGTTTCAGGCCCTTTTTCAACCCCCGTAAACCAATCTCTTTGTCAGATCTCGGCAAAATTCCTCTTTCAAGGTTAATCATCTCATTCCAAGCTTTTTATTGACACTCTTTACCACACTTGCTTTGCTAAGCTATAGCCTAACGTCTCTTTTAATTATATGGATATAGTGAATTTGATATCGCTGCGTACGTTGTATACGTGGGAAATACATACACGGATGTTCAGCAAAAGAAGCAGTGGGTGTTTGTGACAGATGGATCCACTCAACACTCGTATTCAGGGGAAATCTCATGTAATATTCTTGCTATAAGCTTCAGCACCCCATCCATGGATGACTTATCCATTCCCCAAATCAGCCAGAATCTCGTCGGATCCGTGGTATGCACAAAATTCATCAAGTCTAAATCCAAGTGGCGAAAGCGTTTCACACTGATCTCTTTGTTAAACGCTACTTTTTTGAGGAATGTTGTGGGTGGGTGTTCTTGTTTGGCAGGTAGGATTCTGCAATCTAATAAAAAGAGCAAAGGATGCGCGAAACGACATGTGGGTTGGTGAGGCAACAGAGAACTCAGTCTACTATATAAACGCAGAAGCTTCTTACTCTTCTCACCTCAAAAGCAGCACTGCCTATATCCAAAAATGGGCGAAGCTCTCTTCTTCCAACTCTGTTCGTTCTCTTTACTTTGGTCCCAACAAAAAAAATTGTATTTGTTGGTGATTATTCGGTTTGGGTTGTTCCTTTTGTGTAACTCTTTTGGTTTTGTTAAAATCAGGTGATCCATAAACTTCGGCAGAGAGTTCTATTTATAATCGGTGATTCTAAAGCACCATCATGATCAAGGTAAATTACACACATTTCCTCTTAATTTTTGTCCATATATAAGTCTATGTTGTCTAAACCTGCTTGATTGCTCAATGTATCATCTATTATAAACATATTTGCTACATTATTTTCGTACAAATAAACAATCTTTGGCATAGTATTAGGTGTAGGCAAATTATCTCGGATATTTTTATCTGGTTTTTTTACGAAGGTCATGAGGCCTCAAAGTATGGGGTTGTAACAAATTTGAATCCGTAGGTACAGATAAACATAATGATTTTCTTGCGCGGGTATCTTGGGTCATGTCTAAAAGTTTTATAAGATTTGTGTTCAGTTGAAACCACTCAATAATTTGAGTCATTGTAAGTTTCAGTAGCTTTACCCTTAGCCACTGCGTTTATATGTCCAATAAGAACCACTGTTTTTAAATACGGTTTGTACGCTTACTGTGAAAAATAATTAGCTTTAGTGTACTTCTTTTCAACCAGTAATCGTGAATTATGTGAAATCATAGTTCAATAAGCTTTTGGTTTCTGACATAACATAGATTAAGCACTGAACAAAGCAACGACAAGAGTAATCGTTTTACAACAACAATTGACCAAAGTAATCGTTAAACTACAAAAAAAAAGAACCAAGAACAATAACAACCAAATTTCTTCAGTCCCGTGTCCTTTCGGATAGCAATATGGTCTCTTCATCTCGTCTCCTTCCCTAACCTTGAAATCAAAGATTTGTCTCTCTCGTGAATATATATTATGGTTCGTATTTAGGGTTTTAAAAAAAAATTGGATTAATAGCTTGTGGATTATATTGCTAACACATGGTTAAGATATTAGACGCCTTAATTAACGGTGCACTACGTCGTTTAAGATGTTATTAACGTCTGTTTATGATCTCTCATAAAATGGGTAGACGATTAATAAGAACTAGATTCTCACCCGCACTTTGTGCGAGAACATTCGTTTTTATGTTGTAAACTATAATTTCGAATTGTGTCGTATATAATATGTTCAAAGTGTGATATGTATTGTTTTAGTTTGTAAATAGAATCGATTATTTTGAAAAAAAATGATTGTTTTTTTTTAGTTTGAAGGTAGCGAATAAGTATGTTAAGTACTGTATTTTATAATGAATAATCATTGTAGTTAGTATACATAAATTATAAAATATTTAGTTTTGAGCATGTACGTATATCAATAATTTAGTTTTGTGCATGTACGTATGCCTGTTGTATTTACTTATGGAATAAGAATGAATTATAATATGGCCAACGTACTGAATCTCTATGTAATAGAACAAATCTAAAATAACTAAAAAAAAACCAAAACATAAATTGTAGGTGTAACTTCGAAGATTTGATCGAAAAAGCAAAACAATAGTACTTGAGACTCTCCATCGCCGAAGATTTGGGAAGAGAATATCTAACAAAATATTATTGTTTTGCATATGGAAAATTAACTAATTGTAAATGGTGGTTCTATTAAGATTTCATATAGATGTACGTAATTTCCTAATCTTTAAAGGAAGATACAGATTTGTGTAATCTGGTTATCTCGATTCTGTAAATTTCAATATTTTCTTAATCAATGTTGAACAATCTAATATTTAGTTAGGAGTATCATATTTCGTACGAGTTTAATGTTTTATAATTGACATTAAGAAAATATTAACTACCTTATTTAGCTGTTGGTAACTAAATATTCTCTCCCTAAATCACTCGA